AATGACAGATCTATTCACTCTATCAGTAACTGAGCTTAAAGGTAATGAAGTTTGACCGTTCTTGTCTTCTTTTTGTTTTATGTGATTGTTGGTGATTGTGATTTCACAAATTGTTTATCAACTATTTTCTGGAAAATCTTCTGATAATATTAGTTGAGCACACACACATTATAAATTAAACCTAAACCAAAAATCCAAGAGCAGTAATGAACAAACAAGAATGGAAATGCAACTAAAGGACATCTTGCCAGAATGACAGAAATGAACAAAAAAAAAACCAAATTTTCTAAAAACCAAAAACTACATAAATAAACTACTAGAACTGTAAAAATGAAAATCCAAGAGCAGTAATGAACAAACCAAAAACCAGAAGAATGGAAATGCACACCTTGCAATAAATGCAGAAACAAAACGCATACATAAATTTTCTAAAAAAAGAGATAACATGAACTAAGCGTCCTTTCACTACAAAATCAAATATCATTATTCAACAAAACATTAAAACAAAAAAAATTAATAGAATAAAATTATTAACACTTCATATTTATTAAGGTTTTTTTATGTTTATTTTTATTTCTTTTGCATGGTCAAAGACCACTTATCCAAACACAATATTAGGAATTTTAAATGAATTGAACTTTTTGTATGATACTCCCACTATCTTTATTGACGGCCAGAGTAGCGCACTTTTTTAGCAAAAATCTTGTTTATCATGAAAGATCAAAACATAATGAGGTGAAATATCATTTTATTAGAGAAAAGATCTCTATAGGTGAAGTTAGTTTGTTTAAAATTCATACTAACAAAAATCTCTTAGATACAGGACAAAAGTTTTATCTATTGGCAATGATGGACCCAGGATTTTGGGTCAGCACAGGCGGCCGTGAATCGTTGACCGTTGTCAGCAATAAAATATTAAAAGTCTCTTTTGATGCCCCTTTTTTTCTTTTTTCTTTTTTTGCAAAAAGTGCATTTTGGAATAGTGATTCGATGAAAAATATGTTATTAAAAATAAGGAAATTTTTTGAATTTGAATGTAATATTATTTTATTGAAAAATGTGCGGTTGAAAAAAGAAAGAAAAATGTATTTTGAAAAAAAATAAAAAATCAAACAATATCTAAAATTTAAATATAACAATTATTTTGTTCAAACCGAACATATATAATTTTGTTGTAAAAATTAGCCATATCTACCAAATAATATTGTGACTAAGTTTTGTATAATTCAAAAGA